CACAGGCAAAATAGTGGAGGTTGTTCTTTTGAATTTGTCAAAGACATGGACTATGAACAGTAAGTTTCTCGAAATTTTAAATTCTTTTTATCTTACCATTCACAATACTGACAATGCCCATTCATATATTGTGGACTTTGATGATGAGAATGTCAAAACATTATTCACCGATGTGGAGTGGAACGAATTAACCAAAGATGTTCCGCGTGATATTGCAGAAGAGCTAACGAAATACGGAAGTACGATAGTGATTAAATCATATCTTAAGGATGAAGAATAATACTACGTCCATAAGCATTATGATCAAGAATGGTTCCAAATAACCATGCGAACACTATTTAATCTGTACGAGAACATAGATACCCTTTAATAAGGACCCAATACGAAGTTTGGTTCACAGTCGCACTTTTGGAACATGCATTGATTTCTGCATTAGGGACGCACAACTGGGCACTGACATTAAGAGGTTTTATCCATTTCCCACTAGTATAAACAATGAATTATCATCAATTTTGATTATTTATACTTTTTATAGAACTGACGCACCATTATTGAATAGTGCCAACAGAAAGAATCGTCATCGGAAAGCAAATACACACAAAAGAAACTCACTGGTCGCAAAATCGACGTGATAATATATATAGCTGATAGAATTCTTGAATTCAGGCCATCAAAGGTGCAAGGTCTTTTGCGAGAGTTTCGGATAACAAATATCTTCTCGAGACATTCAAGATGCCCAAGATACTTCGAGACATGTCAAAACTGCGAATTATGACGATCAAAAAGCAGATAAACTTCAAGTATTTGGCATCTTACATACATCTTGGGTTATATACTCAATTCGTAAGATTATGGCGTGCTGGCGGATCAATCTGCATTTTTCGCAAAGATCCCCGATCTTGCTATGGTGCATGAACTCTTAAATATGATTCATGGTAAAAATTCTTAACTAAGAAATAAATACACAATTTAACCGGTAATATTATAGATAAGAACCTTCTTGATAATATTACCAGTCAAATTTTGGATTTCCTTCTTAGCTAAGAATTTTTAACATGAAACATAAGAGTTCCTGCACCATATGTAGATAGCAAGTTCTCAAAAAATAGAATTAAGATCCTTTCTTAAATTTCTATCAAAGATATATCAATACAAGATATGAAAAATAGCTTATTGTAGTTATTGTCTTATTTTTCTTATGTATTCTAATTATTTTTACAGATTATCATTCTAATTGTAATATTATTGCAAAAATTTTTTATAATTAGTTTACATTTTAATTACAATCAAATTTCTTTATAGTCATCACCCTTAGGAAAGCAAATTTGGTGACTATAAAGAAAATATGATTATAAAGAGATTTTTTTACTATGTTTACATGTAAATAAGAAAACAAAATAGAATAATTATAGAGAAATATGATTATAAAAAAATTTGACTATATAAAAAATTTTGCAAAATATTGTAATTAGAACAACTTTGTCAAAAAAAATCTAAAAATCCAAAAAAATATATTACAAATTTATTTATTAATTATTAAATTAGCTAATAAATTTAAATCTGAATTAGGAGAGAAAATTAAATAAAATACTAAGAAAAAAAGATATCTAAGTTTATGTTAAATTTTACAAAAATTATAATAATCCAAAGATATAAAAATATATAAAAGTTATGAGAGATTAAAAATTGAAAAAGAAAAAAAAGTATAAAATAATAAAAAAATAAATATCAAAAAATATTTAAAATACTAATTTTTTGTACTTGTATAAAACTTTTCAGAGCAAAAATAATATAATTAGTAATAATAATAACAAAAATTTTTTTTTGTTTTTTTTACAAATAAGAAATATTATAATAACAAATTCAAAATAACAAAAATAAAAATCAAAAATAACAAAAAATAAAATATTTAATTTAATTTAATAAAATTATTAATAATATTTTGTTTGTTTTGGCACAATATAATTAAAAGTTACTTTATATAAGCTTTAATATATATAATTAAAAGTAAAAAATCAAAGTTATTTATTAAAAGTTATTTATTAAAAGTTATTTATTAAAAGATTTTTGTTAAAAGATATTTTATTTTTTTTGTTATAATATATCAAGTTAAGATTTAAATAATATCTTTATTTTTTGAAAATACAAATTCAAAATATGATAACTTTTTAAAAGATAAAAATAATTATCTAAATATAAATAAAAAGTACTAAAATAAAATAAATAAAATAATAAGTTATATTTGCTTAATTATTTTGAATTATTTTTGTTCTTCTATTATTTTTGAATTTTTGTATTATTTTATTAATTAAGAAATTTTATATTATTATTATAACAATATATTTATAATAAAATTAAAAACTTTTATATAAAACAAAAATTTCAAATTTTATTAATAAAATTGTATATATAATTTTATAATTTTATTATCTATTATCTATTATTTTTTTAGAAAATATTAAAAATTAATTTATAATAAAAATATCAAAATTTGCTAAAATACTTTAATTTTTACTATATTTTATTAATAAAATTATAGTGACAATCAGAAATAATATAATAATATCAAACTTTATTAATTAAATATAGTAAATTACAAATTATTCTCTTTATATAAAAGTTTTTAATTTTACTAATAAATATTTTTTA